AGGGAGCGATCACCTCATCGAGCTCCCCCGCCTTTTCGCGCACGAACTTCGCCTTGAGAAAACCCGGCGGGTTTAGGGTTAGGGTTTAGGGTCTAGGGTTTAGGATTTAGGGTTTAGGGTCTAGGGTCTAGGGTTTAGGGTCCGGGGTTTAGGGTTTAGGGTTTAGGGTCTAGGGTCTAGGGTTTCGGGTCTAGGGTTTAGGGTTTAGGGTTCAGTTTGGGGTTTAGGGTCTAGGGTTTGGGGTTAAGGACTTCATGGTTTGGGTTGAGAGTTCGAGAGTTTAGGGCCAGGAATCTCGTGCACAGCGGGGGACCGTTGGAGTTTGGAGTTTAGGATTGCAAGCTTAGGGTTTGGAGTATAGGGCTTTCAGGCTAAACCCTAGACCCTAAACCCTAAACCCTAAACCCTAAACCCTAAACCCGAAACCCTAAACCCTCCTAAACCCTGAACCCTAAACCTTAAACCCTAAACCTTTGTTGCCAGGTGGAGTTTCAAAGGCGAGTGGAGGGGCTTCGGGCTTTAAGGAACCCTAAACCCTAAACCCTAAACCCTAAACCCTAAACCCTAAACCCTAAACCCTAAACCCTTAACCCTAAACCCTAAATCCTTGGTCTTTAGGGTTTAGGGTTTGGGCTCGAGGCTTCGGGGACTAGGTTCCCAGTGTCCCCTTAAAAGAACAAGGTACCCTCTGTTAATAAGGGTTTAGGGTTTCGGGTTTAGGGTTTATGGTTTAGGGTTTAGGGTTTAGGGTTTAGGGGAACCCTAAAAACCCCTCCTAAACCTGAACCCTAAACCCTCAACCCTAAACCCCCTTAACCCTAAACCCTAAACCACAAACCCTAAACCTAAGACCCTAAACCCTAAACCCTCCCAAACCTAAACCCTAAACCTGAAGCCCCGAACCCTGAACAGGTTTTGAGTTTTCAGCAGTGAAGGTCGAGATCTCGCTCTCACTGGGTCCGACAGTTTCAAGTTTAGGGTTTACGGTTCAGCGGTTTAGGGGTTTAGGGGTCTAGGGGTTTAGGGGTTTAGGGGTTTAGGGTTTATGTCAGGGCTCTAGTGTTTAGGAGCTGACTCTCATGCATGTGTGCATTTTGCTTACTGGTATTGCCAGTCCTCCAAGAAGCTGCATGACTCCTATTTATCGTACTACTTCGGCCACGATTGTGACCATGAGTGTTCTGTGGGCTTTCCATCATCACCGTCGCGGTTATTGTAACAAGCTCTACTCTACTTGCTACACGCTTGTTCACGGCGGATACCCTAAATCCCCTAAATCCTAAACCCTAAAAACTAAACCCTACACCCTAAACCCTGAACCCAACAAACCTTTGACCTTCAAACCAAACCCGGAATGTTGACAACGCTGAACACCCTGGACTGCGCGGTGGCAGCCGCACAATCAAAATAAATGCATGCACATTGCCAGTGCCATGAAGGTTCCTTTCAGATTTAGGGTTTAGGGGTTTAGGGTTTAGGGTTTAGGGTTTTAGGGTTCTCAACACGAAGGATCCTACGAACACAGAAACCCGAATACGTAAACAAGCTTAGATTACGGGTTTGGCGGTTTCGAAGTCAATAAACATAGCCAGGGACCAGGAGGAACAAGGCTAAGCACTCAGGACCCTAAACCCTAATTGCTTGGAGTTCTATATTTGGGTCTCGTATATGGGTGGTTCTCTAAATTAGGGTCCTTTTTTAGGTCCCCAATATAGTACGGCACCCTTAAACAAAAGGACCCCAACAGGGACCCTAATTTAGAAAACTACCCATATTCTGAAACACTGATGCCATGACCCCTTCAGGCAATTTGGTGGCCGTGACAATTCCTAAAAAGTTGTGTGGCACAGTGTATTCTATATAACGAAGTAATGCAGAACAGAAACTGCAAAACAAGCACTAGTAGAACCCCGCAAAAGCCCTACTAAATCAACTGAAATCCGAATACTGCGATAGAACGAAAGTTTTTACCTACTCGTTGGTTCGTCGAACACACCATCCCACAATAAACTCGGCTTCTCCTCCGGAACATTCGAGTGGTATAGTTTAAAGCGGTGTAACGAAAAACTCCGCTGGCCATTCCACCGGTTTTTGGGTTTAGGGTTTAGGGTTTAGGGTTTGGCGTTCCACGTCAATCGCGCTTTTCGGTACTCCACTACTCCGCAAGACGTCTTAAGACAATAAAGGGCCAGTAAATCAAACTTTCGTCCCTTTTGTCCTCTCGATGTAAGTCCTTGTAGAACCCTGTAAAGCCCGAAGAACGCAACGAGAACGACCCTGCACCCTAAACCCTAAACCAGGAAAAAAAAAACGCGATCCTATAAAGCCCGTATGAAACAAGTGCGGCCACTCGACCACTTCCTCAGAAATCAGCGATGCCTGTCGGCCCTGCATTCTCGTTGCCGTTGGGTTGTCGGGTCTGCATGCCCTAAACCCTAAACCCTAAACCCTGAACCCTAACCCTAAACCCTAAACCTTAAACCCTAAGCCCTAAACCCCTGGAATTCAGGGCTTCAGGGGCCCTGAGTTTGGGGACATGGTTTGGGATCTAGGGCCTATAGGGTACTTTGGAGCCTAACAGACCTACCCTCGTAGGGCTCCTTTCTCCTTTTATGGGGTTTAGGGTTTAGGGTTTTAGGGTTTTAGGGTTTAGGGTTTAGGGTTTAGGGTTTTAGGGTTGAGGGTTTAGGGTTTGGGGTTTTAGGGTTTAGGGTTTAGGGTCCTTTTATGAGGGTTGGGATCTAAGGGTTTGGGAAGGGGCGCATGCTTGCGATGGTGTTCGCACCTTGCCTATGCTGGCTCTCTGTCTCTGGCTCTCTTTCTCTCGCTCCCTACTGTTACCGAGCATTTGAAGCAGGTTTGCGTACACCCTAAACCCTCGACTCTTAGGGTTTAGGGTTTAAGGGTTTAGGGTTCATGGGGCTAAGGGTTGAGGACCCAGACCCCCGGGAGGATCCAGAAAAAAAAGGTCCCGCACCGGGGGTTCCTACAAAGGACCCTTTGGGAACCTGGGAGTATTGGGTCCCACATTAGCGGATCTTTGTGGATCCTTCTGGGGGTCTGGATCGCTTATGACTTGGTAGCTTGGCCGTCACACGCGTGGCAGGCTTCGCTTGCTTCTAAGCCTAGCAAGGTCTGATGAAGGTATCTTGGGCTGAAGATGTGTGCGGCCTAAGCCCACAGAGAGGTGGGCTGACAGAGACAGAAAAAGGCCTGATACACAGCGACCGTGAGTTTTCGAAAGCTGGGCAGAGGCCATTTATCCAGAGTTCTTTACAGCAGCATGCACAAGTCGCAACTGAATCGTCGCTCCGGCTGGCGAAGAGACATCGATGATCATTGGATCCTGGCAGTGGCTGGACCTGCGCAGCACCAGCATGCCCGGACATGCCCGGACTGCCTGGACTGCAGCATGTCAGCATCAGGGTAACGAAGCAAAGGCACGCAATTTCCAGCTTCCAAAGTCGCCGTGAAGTAGCCAAGTTCTCTTGGATGAAATCGAACCTGGGTGTCATGACAGACTTGAAAAATACAGGCCGTATATGGTCCGAGCCCATCAGAGTCATTCTGGTAAATACTGTCAAAGCCGAGGACAACGACAGCAGGCCTGGAGTGGCATCAATATCACCACTCCCCACCGCACGCCACACACACCCGCGCACTGCCCCCTACGCCACGACACATCACCACCACCAGCACCACCACAACAGACAACCACCACACTCCACACGTTATCAGACCATACACCATCATATAACAGCACCACAGACACCACCACACAGCCATCGCGCCCAACCGCACTCCACACTCCACGACACTCAGGTCCATCACACGCCGCCACACGCCACCACCAGCACCACCTGTCCTAAACACTGTATTCCGAAGCCCCAAAGCCCAAGTGCTGAAAGCCCAACGTAACCGTAAATAAATCAGACCCCATCGTACATGTATATTCAACCCGGTAGAGGTGAATGGCACAAGCCCTAGACCCTTACACCCCCAAAGCCACTACAAAACCCTGTAGAACACCATAAGAACATGCAAAACCCTAACAGCCTGTAAAGCCTATGAAATGCTACAGAGCACAATTTAACAAACGCGCGCACACATGTAGGCAGTTGAAACTCAGCCTACAAAACCATATACACGAACCTTTCAACACTCTAGACCACCTCCCGAACAAACCCTTAAACAATGAAAATACATAACAAAACACTTTAATAAGAAAAGGCCCTAAAGCTTAGATCCTAGACCTTAAACCCTAAATTATAGAACCCATATAGACCCCTTCAAGAACCCTGGTGGATTCTTTAAACGGTCCCTAACAAACCCTCGAAACCCACATAAACTCTAAACCCTTAACCCTGTTGTTAGACCGCTGGGGTATGCCTTAAAGTAGCCCTCAGGGTGTCCCATAAAGGAGCGCTTAGGGTGTCCCTAAACGAACCCTAAACCCGAAGCCCCCATTGATCCCTTGAAGACCCCCGAGAGGAACCCTTAGCGGAGCCCTTATAAATTTCTTACAGAACCCGTATAGATTCCCTAGAAAGCCCTTGAAGGAACCCTGAGACGAACTCTGAACTATACGGGAAGCATCAGGGAACCACAAACGAACCATAAGGGAACCATAAGGGAACCATAAGGGAAACATGAGCGAACTATAAGGGAGCTAAAAGGGACCTCTAAGGGAACTCTAAGGGAAACTAAGGCCTAGACCCTGAACCCTACATCCTAAACCCT